AATAATACTAGATATATATATTAATATACTATTCGCTTATATATATTAGATAGAGGTTATAAGAGGCCTATTAATATCTACTAAGTATATAAAGCTAACCGAGATATTAGAGTACTATTCTAGCGTAGAGTATATAGCTTCTATAGTTCTTTTAAAGAAGTAGTTATAGAGATATCTAGTATTACTATCTATAAGAGAGAAGGTAGAAGTAGAGCTAACTTAGAATATAAATCGGTCGTTTCCTAATACTTAGCCGAAGCGATTATCGTTAGAGAGCTAGATAAGGAAGTAGCTTATAGGACTTACTATAGCGTTCGATATAGTAGATATAGTACTTATAACTATTATTATAGAAGTAGAAATAGTAGAAATAGTTACCTCGGTAGATATAGAGGTAATAGTAGTTAAGAAAGTTTCTTAGATAGTCTACTAAGTTATAATAGTCGTATATATAGTACTTACTAGAAAGATAGTAGTAGAAGGTTTAATTCCGAGATATTTATATACTATAGCGAAAGTAGATCGTATCTTATAGATATTATAAGCAAAGTCCGGAACCTTAGATAGAGTACTCGTTCTAGTATATATCGATAGAAAGGAAGCTATATACTATACTTTTTAGCTAAGAGAGTTAAGTCTAAGTATAGAGATTATAGTAAATATAGTAGTAGTAGTAGTTATTATAGAGAGCTTAGAAGTACTTATAGCTATAAATAGTACCGTCGTAAACTACGTCGTTATACTTATACTAGTAACGAATATAGTTAAAGTAGCTATAATTATACTTATACTATATTATAATATTAGTCTCCGATAGAAGTCGGACTCTTAAGGTCTACTTAAGCTTATATAGAATAAGGCGCTATAATAGTTCGGAGGTAAGAAGAGTAAGCTTACTTACTTTTAACTCGTACCTAGAAAAGTTATAAGCCGATTAGTCGCTAAAGTCTAGTATAGTAATTAGAATACTAACTAGGAGATTATATTTATTCGAATAGTATTATAGCTATAAGAATACTAAGAATAGCGACGTAAAGATACTTAGAGAAGAGGTAAGAGATAGTACTTTTATAATTTCTAAGCGCCTTAGACGTTATTATAAGGAAAGAACGGGACGATATAGCGACTATAGTCCTTATTATTCCCTTAGAGCGTTCTCGATTTAACATTCGCTAGCGCTAGAACTCGACGTAACTATTAGCAAGGCTTTACTCGATTTAGGACCATTTCGCTTATAGAAAGTATCTAGTAAGAAGACTTGACCTAAAACGTACTAGGATAGACTTTAAGCAAAGCAGCAGACTATTGCAACGCGGCTTAGCTAGTAGACCTTCTCCTCCGCGGGCCACTGCTACGTTAGCACAATTCTAGGCCTGGCCGCTGCGCTCCATGCCGCCTGGAAATCACATTAGAAGTAAGGCGAGACGTAGAAAGTGAATTTGCTCCTCTCTAGCTTTCCCAGCCCCTATGATTCGGCGATAGTCTTGGAGTGCAGCGTTCTGCTCGTCCGTAGAGACGACGCAAGTCTAGGAGGCACTCGCAAAATGAGCGCCAACTCAGCCATCAATATTTGAGCGTGTATTTGAGCAGAAACCGCCGGTTCACCTTCCGCCAAGCAACGAACGGGACCGACGCCTTACACAACAATGCGCGCTACTCAGAATCGAAAGCCACCCGTCGGACATGTCCGACGACGTCTTTGATACATTCTCTACCAAGGACGAGCACATCGCGATGGACGAGGACGAGTACCATCCTGACTTCACGCCTCCTCGCACGACTACGACGAAGAAGACATATGCGCTAAAGAGCAGAGAGCTAGGAGGTACAATCGCCTTAAAGAAGCTGTAGTATAGGTCAACAAACTTGCCCATAACTCCAATGCACACCATAATTGGCAACCATGACAGTGCTGCAATTGCTGCCATGCAATGTACCTCAAACTTCGGAGATGAGAAACGTTTCGTCACTCTCGCCACCTGTGTTGTAGCCCAAATCTACCTGGTATACAACTTGATGGAAAACGCTAGGTGTCTCTGCCTGCAAACGTATCAGTAGCACGCAGATCAGCATCTATACAGTGTCTGGGTGTCGACGCTGCTTCATTGAACTAAGCATAGCATCTCTTTTGTTTTCAAAGTTCTCTTCGTCAACGCTAACAGTCTCTTTGCGCTCGTCGATTTTTCTTGAAAAGCATTTCCCTTAACGGGAGCTACGATGCAAATGACACGTTGGAGAGGCACGAGCGATTTGAGTATCTGACCTGCATTTCCAACATTTGAACATATAGAGCTGGGCCATTGTTTCTCGTTCGGAGGGCATTAAGGATCAATGGTGCCTTGAGAATGGTGACCGTCAGGTGTGTCAAAGCCTCTGCTGTTGGAATGTTAGCTCCAACTCATTCTGAAATTTCCTGGTCTCGCCATTCCAGTAACGTCATGCTAGATAGGCAAAGCCTTACTCGACAGCTCTGATTACTTCTCGCTTTGCAGAGTAGCAGTGCGTATAGAATAGAAATGGGCCTGATGTGAACCTTTTCTGCAATATAGTCTGCTGCAATCTTTGGGTTTCACCGCCGAGAAAGGATCAAGCTTGCTCGACAATTTCTCACTCGATAGCACTGTTGGCTCATCATTCCGGGAGTCATTGCGCTGTACACGAAACATGGGCATATGTAGTCAGCAATGTCTTTACTGTAGCCCTAATCGTTCGAACCGGCGGCGGACTCGCGCGCAGCACTGCGGGCGAGGAGGTGATCGGCTGCACTCAGCTTCTTCTTCTGCTTGACAGGGGTGTCCACAGCAGTGTTGGGATCGAGCTCTTGGTCTATCGGCTGAATAGTGCTGATGTCTGGAGAGTCGAACGGCATGGCGGTGGGCTTGCCGACTCCAGTATCGGACGTGCTGTAGTTCATCAAGCTCTTCTTGTCCTTCTCGAGGACGTCGCCAGCAACATTTTTGCAATTGATCTTCTGTCTGTTCGTCTGGCTTCACTACCATGCAGTGGCTATACCTGCTCATTCAAGCTTTAGTCGAAGGCACTGTTTGCAAATCCTTTTCCAGAGCGGTAGCATCTATACTTGTGACGATAGCGTTGAGTCCACCACTTCTACGCTTCATTCCTTTGATACACTTACACCGCACGCTGTCAAGTCGCACCTTGCAGCCTTTCCTATACTGTAGTCTGCTCCTCGCCATCTAGTCTCGCTACACTCGAACTACTGCCTATGCTCGGCGAAGCTTGGTCTAATAGCACTGTTCGCCACTCGATTTCTGGATTGAAATTGAGAGCGAAGAATTATTGGCCCTGATCTCGGCATCCTGGAACCGCTATGCTTGCTCAGCACAGTCTTGTCTAGTAGCGCTGTTTGCCACTCGTTTTCCGGAGTGACAGCGGAGAGAAGGATCGGAAGCAGGAGAGGATATTACGAGGCTCACTGACCTGCGGCAATGTGTTTATACAGTTCGTTCTCTCCGATCACTTGGACCTCTGTTTGAACTGCTGTATAACTCGATCAATACAGTCTCGACTTTTTGGAGCCGCTGTACTTGCTCATCGAAGCTTCAACTAATAGCACTGTTCGACGTTCATTCAATGGAGCGACCGCGGAGCGAAGGATTAATAGCAGCGGAGGATAGCATTGAGCTCATTCTCTTGCGTTGGGATTCCTATACTAATCTAACTACTTGCCCCCTTTTTGAATCGGTCGATCTAGTTTCACAGTTCTGGAACCGCTAAGCTTGCTCGACGAGGCTCGTATTAGTAGCATCGTTGTCGCTAGATTTCTAGAACACCACCTCGTGAAGAGCATCAATATTTGTAGAGGACAGTGTTAGACTTATTCGTTTCTCGAATTGTTGCGAAAATACGTCTACAATCCGTTCTCTCTCCTCACTTAGTCCATCTTTTCTACTCCTGTATATTTGGTCTCACAATTGAGCAACAGCTATGCTTACTCGGCGAAGTTCTGCTAGACGGCATTGTTGGCTCTTGCTCTTCGGAGGCATGTTTAATACAGGGAATATACTATTGTTGAAGACAGGGATGAACTTATGCATTTCTTCAATTTTGGCGAAAATGCGTGCATAGTCCGTTCTCTCTCTTCACTTAGCCCATCCTTTCTACTGCTATAGATATAGTCTCGAGATTGTGGAATAGCTATGCTCGCTCAGAGAAGTTTTACTAGACAGCACTGCTGCCTCTTGCTTTTTTGAGGCAGCTGAATATAGAGGACGGATGGTTGTAGAGTATAGTGCTGGACTTATCCATTTCTTGCATTTCTGAGCTCAAAAGATCGTCCTATCTGTTTGCTCTTATCACTTAGGCCATCTTCCCCTCTATATCCTACTCCTATAGAACTTGTTTCGGAATTCTGGACTAGCCATGCTTGTTCGGCGACGGTTCACTAGAAAGCATTGTTGCCTCTCGCCTTTTGGAAGCAAGTTATACGAAAGATCGAGAGTCGTAAAAACAGTGTTGGACTTGGTTATTCCTAGCATCCCTGAACGCAGGAGCCCTATACTATTCGTGTCCTCTTATCGCTTCGGCCATCATCTCGTCTATACTCAACTCCTATGGGATCTGTTTCACAATCTTGGACTAGCCATGCGTGCTCGGCGAAGTTTTACTGGACAGCATTGTTGCGTCTCACTTGTTCAGAGACAGGGTGTGGTAGAGGGTCGATTTTGTAGAGGACGGTGTTGGACTTAGTCAATTTCCAGCATTACTAAACGCAAAAATCTACACTATTCGTGTCCTATTATTACTTTGGCCATCTTCTGCCATGTAGCCCACTCCTGCGAAATGTTATCTCGCAATTTCTGGATGGGCATGCTTGCTCAGCGAAGTTTTACTGGACAGCATTGTTGCTTCTCAGTTTTCTAGAGACAGGCTGTGGTAGAGGATCAAGGTCTGTAGAAAACGTTCAATTTATTACTTTCATGTGTGCGATGATCTATGCATAGTGTACACGTTCTCTCGATGCCGATGCTCCATCATATTCACTCATCGTCACCACTATCTTCGTCCTCCTCACTGTCTTCTTCATCGTCACTCTCGTCATCCTCATCCTCCGACTCCATCTCCGGGACATCTGGTTTTGCAACGTTGAAGTACCCGTCCACACCAGCCCATTCACCCGGCAACTCAACCCTGAACCCGATGAATGGTCCGGTACTCGATCGAGAATGTATGACCGTCTGCTCGCTCGACCTCCGAATCTCCATCATCTCATCCCACACCTCGTTATCAATGTTGAACTGCGGGATGAAATCTACTCCCTCCCACTTCACCAACTCCGTACTCGGGTCTCCCAGACCGAGTCGATCAGCTGTCAAGCGTACGAGGTCGTAGAGCCAGATGTAGGCCCAGAGTTCTTCTGCTGTCATCTCTCCTGGGTCTTTGAGAATCGTTTCCCATCTGTCAATGTTGCGTTGAGTTCGGATCCGGTCACGCCACTGACTGTCCAGAGAGTCGAAGTAGGGAATCCTGCCGTTCGCGAAACCCATCGTCAAGAGCTGCGGTTGAAAGATGTCGTTGAAGACCGCAAGGCGATCGTGGCCGGAAAAGCTCGTGAAATTCTCGCGACAGATGCGAATGACAAGGCGCATGATTGGGTGCGAATCGTAGGCGACGGCTGGAGCCATTATTGAAGTATTGGTCGTAGAGAATGCGTATGTAGATGTTGGTTTGGTGGAAAGTTGTGAGTATGTAGGTTGCTTGATGCGAACGAAGTTGTGTTGTTGGTAAGAAGTGTTGCGTAGAGACAATGTTGTTCTGTGGACTGTTGAGGGTGTGCAGGTTGATTTTGCTGTTGGCGAAGTTGTAATGTGGAAAGGAGAGAAAGCAGAGGTCCAACGAGGGGATTTTATGGTAGGCGTGCAGTTTGCGTGTAAGGTGAATATTTGTGGAGAGCATGTGCAAACCCATGCACGGACCAGGCGAGTGAATATATTTTGCATGTGTTTCAACTTTCACAAGCGTTCTGGGTGAATTTGTGGCGTATTTTGGTGTTGAGTTTGCTCATAGTGGATCGAAAGAAGAATGGTGCGCATCGATGTAGCAATTTCGCGCATGTGCTCCCGCTGTCACGAGCATTTTGCGTGAACGTGTAGGCAATGCAGTGGACTCAATGTTCATAGCCAGCTGAAAGTAGGGTCGTGCACGCCTGTGTGGTGCTTTCGTGCAAGGAGCTCGTGCGATCTGCAGTATTGAATCAGAAACACATTCTGGCAAGGAAATTTCGTGGACTTACACTTCACATAGAGTCAGTGCAACCATCGAGGATAAAGCTGACATGGGTAAAAAATTTGTGCTGGCTTATGTACAATCGCACAATGCTTGTCGATCAAGCAAGCCTGGAGCAAACACACTTATCAAGCGGCTTCCAGTCAGTACGAAGCAAAGGACCCGGGACCGACCCAATCGAGATGTTAGCAGCCCGAAGGTCTCCACCCGCATACCTGCCAGCGCAGATTTGGAACACGGAAAGAAAAACCGTAAAGGAAGAGCTTTGCAGGGTAGTAGTGTTGTATAACGCCAGAAGTAACGCTGCGACTTCGTCAACATAACGACTCTCCACGACCGAAGTAACGCCAGTCCTGCCATTTCTCGCGCCACTACGTCCTTCAAATGTGCCCCGATGCCAATGCAATCGAAAATTCTGGGTATCTCTGTTGAATGACGCATCCATCGGAACAAACATCTGCGTTCGCGGTGAAAGGACCAACCGCTAGTCCGCGGTCAGGTCGACAATCTCGACGCCAGAGTCCGTGGATTGACGCCCACGCTTGCGGGCAGGGCCTTCTCCAGTAACAACAATTCCCCCTTCGTCTTCGTCATCGACTTCGGCCTCGACTGTCTCAGAGCGCTCACGCTTCTTCTGCCCCTCTTTCTTGATCTTCTGACCTTCTTTCTTGATCTCGATCTGCTGCTTTTGTTCGCGTTGTTCTTTGCGCTGTAGTAGCCGCCGTAATAGCTCCCTCGACTCTTCAAGTGTCAAGGTGTTGGGGTCACGCTGCTCGAGTGGGGCAGGCGACGGGGTTCGTGGGATGATATCTTCGATCTGGAGGTCACCTATGATCAAGTCAGGAAATGCAAGAAGTAGAAAGCATGCCTCAACTCACGACGTGATCGGCATTTGAAGGTGAATTTTGCAAATGGCGTTATGCCGTACGGATACTTGAGATTGGCGTAGTTCACTTTGTGCGCGCGCTGCTCCACAGCGCCCAGGCTGGTAACGGTTAGCCGTTGTTTGTTGTGCGCTCTTGCATTTCGTACCTTGCCCGGCTAGAGATTGCTCGGCCCTTCAAGCACTTCTCGGGAATGCTTGCTGAGACGTCTTGGGAAGCAGTGGATTGGCTGTCATTCGTGTGTGTGCCGGCGGTCTTCCGAGCCCAGTAGCAACGCACTTCAACCTCGCCGAGATCCTTGTAATCAGCCAGCTTGGCCGTGCCAACGGGATTGTCGTCTGGCCAGAACTCAGCAACAAGTGATGGGTACCACATCATCGATATGACTTACTCGTCTGAAGGCTTGCGAAGCAGTATTTCTCGGATGTGGAGCCCGAGGCGGTGTTCCGCTCGTAACAATCCCGCATGAACCACTGAGAGGCTTGCCTGCGGCCGGTCTCGAGAATAGAGCCTCCCACGTGCTTGCCGTCGAAAAAGATGTGTGCCGCGACACAGTCCTGTTGCACTCTTGCCATTTGCGGGTCCGTTCTCACGCTCATGGCGAAGTTGCGTCCTTCTTCCGCTTCGATGTACTTGGTGGCGTGGTTCGCCGTGGGCGGGTGGTTCTCATAGTTGTACTCGGTGAGCTGCTCTTTCCGCACCATGATGTGGACTTGCAGCTGTGGGATGGCGTTCAGGAACATGTTAGGCAATGAAGTCCACGGCGGAAATTCAACCTTCGTGCGATCGGGCGGAGTGGAAGCACTGGGCGGGGCGGTCAGGAGGAGAGTGAGAGAAGTTGGTGAAGTTGTGAAAGTGGCTTCGAGCACTTGTCACTTTTGTCTGCGTGGAAGTCGCGCGGGAAGACGCGGTCCCTGCTGGTCATCTCGCGCTAGAGTCGCGCTAAGAAGACAAGTCATGTGAGGAAACTCCATTCGTCCACCACGATCGACAACAACATGAGAGCGGAATGGATCCTCGAAAGCAATTTGATTGCAGTGTCTACATCTGAACACGCTGAATTTCCGTGGACCACCACGCGTGCCAAATGCCACTACTTGCCAACATCTCTCGCATCGCTGAGCAATCTGATTCACTCTCAATGCATCCTCTTTCCACCTTTGATCCATTCCTCATTCCTCACTTTCAATGGAAAGTCCAGTCCTCAGTTCAACCAAGGCTTCACCAAATCTAGCGACTTCTCCCACAAAAGCTTCTCCTTCTCCTCATCAAACGCATGCTCCGCGTAGCCAAAATAATACTCCTTGAAATCCGGCTGCACTGGCCTTGAAATCTGACATTCCTCAAGATACTTCCCACCGTTGCCCTCCAACGCTCCAGCAGTAGCTGCCCAGACTGTAGTCGAAGCTCCCTGCTCCGGGTTCTTCATACGGGTAGGGATCACTGGATCTTTCGACCATTCGTCGAGAGTCGCCTGGTCGAGGAATTGCATAAGACCAGTCATGATCAAACCTGGGTGGACTGCGTAGGCGTGTACGCCGTCTTCGCCGAATCGTCGTTCGAGTTCGGAAGCGGTGTAGATGTTTGCTGTTTTGCTTTGGGCGTAGGCGATCCATGGGTGGTATTTGCCCGAAAAGGTGAAGTCTTCGAAGTTGACTCCTCCGTGTCGGTGGGCGGAGGAGGCAAGGATGACGACGCGTGAGCCGAATTGTGGGGTCGCGGAAGCTTTGAGTGTTGGAAGCAGGAGTTGGATGAAGAGAAAGTGAGCGAGGTGGTTCGTGCCGAACTGCAGCTCGAAGCCGTCTGCTGTGCGTCCTTCTGGTGTTGCCATGATTCCTGCGTTTGCGATCAAGATGTTGAGTTTCTTGGATTGAGCCAGGAAGGTCTCGGCAGCCTTTCGCACACTGGCCAGAGAGTTGAGGTCTAGCTCGAGCAGGTGGACGCGGTCGGAGTCCACGAGGCTGCCAAGTGCTGTCTTTGCCTTGTTCAGATCACGAGCCGTGAGGTAGAGTGTTGCACCTGTCTCGTGGAGTGCTTTCGCAGTTTCAATGCCGATACCAGAAGAACATCCTGTGATCAAGATGGTCTTGTCGGACCACTTGCCTTGAAGCTGTTCATCTTTGATGATCTGGAGTGCTGTTGGACGCTGATCGCCTGGTCCAGTGGGCTTCTCGTGAGCAGCTTCATATCGAGTGGCCATTTTGTCGTTGTATTGATTTCGTTCGATTCTGACGAGCTTGTGAGATGCAGGTTGGAATGCGCAGTAGTGATTGTTGTGCAGGATGAATCATTCAGACTGAGACTGAACAGTCGTCCATAATATACTGCATCTCTGCAATGCCTGTTCGGCTTCATGTTCTCGGCACAGCGGCGTCAGTCATACCGTCGGAACAGCTTCCAGAACCCCAACCTAATATTCTGCTGAGTTAGTACAGTAAGCAACTCGGCACTTGTGTTTTGCCAGTCACCCGGCTAACCGGATCCGGCAATTTCGCCATCACTCACCATCGCCACAGTCTCCATAAATCGGCCTGTGATGACTGATCTTGGGCTAGCATATGGACATTCGGACATTTCTTGCTTGGCACTGGATGAATTTGGTCGTACTCCGCCCTGCTTTGGTATCGTTCCTGGGGGAAAGATATGCCTACTGCACTGTTCTTGCGATGCGGCGTGCAAAAACATCCGAATCACGGCTCAACCTGTTAAATGTTCAGTAATCAGCTTATGCTCCTGCCAGGATTTTGAGCTTAAGTACATTCCTTAAGAAGTCGTGCTGTCTGCGCTTCTGTGCTTCGACTCCCGTACCTCTGCGAACTGATGTGAGTTAGATCTCAAGGGCCTTACTGCACGGGCAAGCGTCCAACTTCTTGCATGACTTTTGTTTGATGAGATTTTTGAGTGGTTGCTGCATTCGGACAGAAACGAATGGTAAATGCACCGCGTCCAGGATTAGCAGAAGAGTAATTATTCGAATATGCTATAGTTTGGGGCCCGATCAGTTCTTTACACCATAAGCCTCAAGAGTTGGATTGAGGTCTGGCGACTTGTGGCCCAGGAATTTGTCGAGAACTCCCTGCAGGTCATCGGTTGCTCCTCCGATCTGGAGAACTTCCTCTCGCCAGCGGCGACCAGCTTCTGGATTGATCGGCTTCGCCTTGAAGGCTGTGTAGTATCTGCTTCCAGGTCAGAAGACGTTGTTGTGCTCTTGGATATTTACTGAATACTCACGCATCGATAGCATATACTCTTGACCAGAGATATGCGTAGTACTTAGCCTGGTAACCACCCACGATGTGCGTAAAGGTGGTCTGGCCGTGGCCGCCATCAATGCCTTCTCCTTCGGTTTTGAGCGCCGCAGACCACTCATCATTCCATACTTTGGTGCTGTTGATCTTCTTTGCGTCTTCTTGGGACTTCGGTGTGTGGTAGATCTGATCAATCTTTCCGTAGGTAATTTGCCCAATTTGTCCTCGTGCCGAGAAAGCCACTCTGTTTTTGATCATATCGCTGATGGCCGCATCTGGCAGAGTCTCGGGTGGTAGTTCGGTGTTGTTCTTTTTCCACGCCTCTGCATACTTGGGGTCTATGCGGGTGTAGTGCTGACTCAAACGTTTCAGGACATCGGGTGCGTAGGCAAATTCCTCCATCATCTGAGAGGGCATCTCCAGCCAGTCCATGGGACATCCACCCGGTCCGTGAAATCGGGAGAAGCGAGTCTTCGATAACAAGTGGTGCATACCGTGGCCAGCCTCGTGCATCAAGGTGGATACTTGACTTCGGGACATGAGAGACGGGCGGGTGGCTTTAGCGTCGGCCTCTCGGAAATTGCAGTAAAGGCCAGCAACCCTAGCAATGCGTCAGGAGAATATCAAGAAACTCACAACAAGAGATCAGCAAACTTACGGATAGTGTCTTTTGCCCGAGCCATCATCGAACCCTGGTTCAAGCGGAATCATGAAGGCACCTGCGACAGTTATCAGTCGTGTATCTAAGGAGAGCGATCAAGAAGATCAGCATACCATTTCCCTTGCCCTCGCGGAAATAAACGTCGAGGTATAGGAACCCCAGAAACTCATCAGAGTTTTTGCTGTCCCAAACAGCAAAGAGCTCGACGTCAGGATGCCAAGTCATTTGTGTCCCATTGCCAGTAGGAGATAGCTCATCCAAGTCCTTGCCTTCAATCCTCACAAACTTGATTCCGAATAGCTCAGCGTACAGGTCCAGAATGCGATGGGCGGTCTGAGCAGCGGGAAAGTATTCCTTCTGCTTGTCCAGGTCCAATGCTGATGCTTCTTCGATGACAAGCCGAGAGTAGAGACCAACGTCCCATGTGTAGAGATGCGAGGCGTCTCCGCCGGTTTTGTTCTTCATCTGCTTGAGGGTATCCGTCTCCTTTGGCAGCTTGGGCGACATGGCGTCTTGCACCTTCTGCTGTAGATCTTGCACCGCTGCTGGAGTCTTTGCCATCATATCGCCAAGAGCCCACGTCGAGAAGTCAGGTTGGTCCGCAAGACGAGCTTGCTCATCTCTGAGAGCGAGCGCTTCTTCGAGTCTTCCAATGTTGCTTGGTGCTACCTGATTTGAAGCGATGTAGATGGATTTTCGAGTTGTCTCGTTCGTGCAGTAAGAGTTCACGTCACCGGTCGAAGGAGCTCGAATCAAAACTCCGAGTTTGCCTTGATTTGGCCCATCTCCCTTGACCAGCGCATCCAGAATGTCCGGCTTGACGTCCGGAAGTTCCTCGCGGGTGAACCATAAGGTGGTGTTGTCATTCACAACTTCTGCCGAGAATTCATTCTCAAGCACTTGGAGGCGTTGTGAGATCTCTAGGTATCTGTCCCGTTTGGGCCCAGCTTCGATGCCAAGACCACTACTGTTGAAGTCTTGGGGAACTTTTTCCAGATAAAGTCGAGATTCGGCGTCCAGGTTGGTGTCATTCTGCTGTTTATCGTACACCGTGTCGAACAGCTTTGAGACATCTTCGCGTGTCAAAGTCTGTTGCGAAACGTTTGTGAGTGCGGGACTGATAGCTGCCTGCAAGTTAGCAGATTGAAGCAAATATGTGCGCTTTCAGTTGGCGGTACCATCGGCTGTATCGCGCAGACTTTTGTCTGGGTGAAATTTTGCAAAGTAACCAAAGTAGGCAAGTCTGAGAGATGTCTCGGCCTCGTGCTCCGCCCATGGCAAGACCAGATTGTCAAATGTCGCATTCTCCACGCTCACTGACTTGGCGAGATCATCGACCCAATGCTTTTCCCATTGCGCGTACTCTTCTACTGTCTTGTTGATGCTTTCTGCCGTTTCGTTGAAGACATGCGGAGCTTGAGGAGGTCGCTTGATTCCTGAGCTGAGTGTGTCGCTCTGCCGTTCGACCAAGCGTGGCGAGACTGCAGCGGCTTCGCATTTCGAGTGCCTTCACATTGAACCCAGTCAGCGAATACCCGAGAAGCAACATTATGAGAACTGGAGCATAGATCAGATCTCAAGGCCTCGAGACCTCGTGAAGCTTGGAGGAATCGCCGTAGTTTCCCATATAGTCGTGAAGCTTGTGACTTACAACGTTAAAGTTGCTACCAAGCAGCTCAGAAACCACGTGGAAGCCATGCTTCAGATTGGACAGATGTGAGGATGGGGCCCAGAGGCAACGCCAGTATATTGTATACTGGAGCTATGCTCGTATTGAAGTCAACGTGTGGTGATGAGACGTTCTGCTCAAATGCTGATAAAATTCCCAGTGCTGCTTCTGGTGCTCGTCAAGAGGACAAACCGCAGTGGCGGACCTGGAGCCATGGTGGTGGGGCCAGCTCATTTTTGAAGGACAAGCTCGATTCCAGGATGCCCTGCATCGCGTTGAAGCTGCAAAGTGAAGCATTGACTTGCTATTCCAAAGCGGATGTTGCAGGGTTGGAGAAATAGGGGACTTTGCTGAGATTAGTTGTTCATGCTTTTCCGGGCTTGAAGCGCCAAGCGGCACTTGTGCAAATGCTTGGCACAACATCTGGCGGATCTCCAACATCACGCCACACGCTTTACGAGGACATCAAAATAGTCTCCGTCATCATCTTTGTGCCGAGCCAGTCACACATCCGCAGCATGCAAGCTTTCAGTCACATTTGTATGACTAGACAACATAATGTCTTTCAGCACGAATTGCGGCCGCAAGATTCACGCTGAGACACCCGAAGTGATTCAGATTCGTACGGATCACCCAAGCCACGCTATCAAGATAGCACCAAACGAGACCGCGCTGCTCCAAATCACAATAGCACGACTCCTTTCGCAAAAGTCTTTGCCCTATTCAGCTTGCACGAAACATCTTTCGGGATCTGACAAACCCCAGCAGGCGCAATGACGCTAGTGCTACAATGAGTTTCGCTCTGCATGGGTTTCCTGGCGGCCAGGCAGTGCAAAACGAGCAGACCGAGCGGCAGCGTCCGGAAAGCTTCCTCGACCTCTGATCCAAGCTGAAGCCGCCGGTAAAGAAGTGAGCTCAGTCGCCTTGTTCCAGCCGCAGCGGTGATCCAATGCGGACCGCCAGTTAGCGCAAATTACCGCTATAGAGGCCTATAGACTGAAAGTCGTATAGAAGGCTCCAGATTCGATGATATTTTCTACTTACTAGAAATTCGATGCTGCTTTGTGAAGGCAGCAAACATGCAGAAAAGGACAGAGTCGCAAAGGAGTAGGGAAGCGCTCGAGAGGAAGTGTCGCTCTGAGCTACACCTCCTGACATTCTTCACAGTGACCCTCGCGCGGCCGCGATCGTGGATCCTTGCTCATGACACGCGCTAAGAGCGCGCTACAGTATACAGTACTCAGTCATGTGCAATCTTGGCATGCTTGTGCTCTTGACTTTGTACTCACTATCTATACGGCCGATAGCAATCAGGCAACAATTTTTGAGGAGGTATTGAGACAGCTTCGCAAGCAGAATACGCAAGCTTGCGACCTGCTGAGCCGCAGGCTTAGGTCTTACGTCTTGTGACGACACCGAGGGGTGTGCAAATCACTTCAGGCTGTGCGTACAGCAATTGTTGGTAACGGAATGCTCTTGTCATTGAGAGAATTACAAGAAGTTAAAGCCCACAAACGCCCTTGTGATGACTATCTACTAGGAAAGCTACCATTCAGCATACCGCTGACCCATCTGAGCAAGTGAGGACCCATGAGCTGTTGCACGATCCACTCTAGATACCAGACTCAGTAGAAAGCCAGCCGTACTTGTAATCGAGCGTGATCCAAGCAACCGCTGGACGACCAGCGGGACCGTAGCCATCCTCGACATTAGGATTCTTTGGAAAGTAATAGACCTTGATCGAAGAATCTTCTGGCTTGGCTCCATTGATGACGTGCGCAGAGATGGGAGAGTCTGGTGCAATCTGGAATTCGGCGTTGTCCAAGGCACCTTTGAACCATCTACCCTCCGTCGTACCTTCAACCTTAGACTGGTTTTGCGGTGCGAAGGTTCCTGGTTCCATGTCCATACAAAGCTCGCTGAGATATGATACGCCGTCCTTGGCTTCGGATGCGTAATAAATTCTGATCTACGACGCAAGTCAGCAGGTTTCTTGGTCTTTGCGGGAATGGCTTCTTACCTGATAGGACTTCTTGTCCCCGCTGGTGAGAGACACTACGCTCAGATCACCGCTAGATGTTGCGATGACCTTTGATTCCTTCGAGGCCACACCTTTGTTGTCGTACTCTTTACGATTCCAAAGCTTGGAGTCCTTGACCAGTGGCTTCTGGCGCTCGCTTGGGTTCTTTGGAGCGTTCTTGTACAGCGACTCTCCTTCTTCATCTGGATTTTGTCGCCATGCCTTGATGTTGTCCTCCTTGTCCACGTAGAACACCATGGATTTACCATATAGACCTTGAACAGAGTCAAAGGCAGCAGGTGGCTTGATACCGGTAGGAGCCATTGCGATTTTCTTTTGTTGGAATGAACGATGTATGCGATTTTTGATGGCAGAAGATAGCTGTAAAGTGCAGAGCTGTTCGGTTTGATGAGGGAGCTGTGCATGGAGGATGATGGAACTTTCTATATCTCTCCTCAGGACACCTCGCAATGTCGCGCACAGAACGAAGCTCCACACTGTTAACGCCATGCAGCCATGTACAGCTGGCCTTCGCGCTGACCGGGCCAATGGTTCAACTCGAAGAGCGCTCTTGCAGCCAGAATGCAGCAATCACTGACCGGCATGCATTAGCTGATCGCAGCTTCAGCACAAATCCAGTTGCTGCAAGCCTGCACATGCTTGACAGCTGAAGCCGCGTCTTGGTCCACCAAACGTGGCTGCCGTACTCTGCACACCGTGAACGCTACGTACATTAGTACAGCCTGGCCACGTGTTGCCACGAGTTTCGTAACCAAAGTTGAGTACCGAGTGTGGTGTGCAAACTTCTTTCGGCCTGCGTCCAACTCCGAGGGGCCAAAGCGAAGAACACAGATACTGCAGTCGTGTTCAGCGAAGTCTGGAGCTCCGGTCCTGGTGAACAGCCATAGACCCGCGTAATTACAAGAGCCCCAAAATCCGCCCTGAGGCTGCGGATGTGAGCCGAATCCCATTGGATGGCGAGTGCAGTGGTTTCATGTGGCACAAACTGTTGCAATATTGCGTCACAGCCAGTGGGGCGATTGGTGCGAGCCAGCACTGCCAGTCGGACCCTCCAAGCCCTCTGAAGATCGTGAAGCTGTGGGAGAATGGGCGGGCTCCTTGGGGTCACTGGTCACCTTGCATATTGTGGCTCAAGCATCTGGAACATCAGAAGACTGGTGCAGTAGGCCCATGTGGCGGAAACGTGAGAGAACGGGGTGTCCGTTGGCTTCAGCCAGCACGGGGTGTCCGGGCAGTCGGCAGTACGATAACAAGGGCCCGATATGTGCTTCGAGCTTTCATAGGTTGCTGAAACTCATGGCACGGAATTATCGCCCTCTGTTGAAGACGTAGTCCTTCATTGCTTTGCTGAATCGTATTGCGCCTGGTGTTCACTGGTGAGAAGACCGACTCAGTGGTCCTGCTTGCTGGGTTCATTGCTTCGCTTGGAGTGCATGAGCTTGCTGCATTGGTATGCTTTGGCGCGACTGCGACCATGCTGCCACATTCGAACACTGAGAAGCAATGTGAAGCGACGTGGTTGGGCCGAGATCCTCGACAGTCGACGCATCAGGCCACGCTAGACGCATTCAGTTGTCGCAAGGAAACACGAAGCAGATCGCAACCAAGCTCCATCTTTGACCTCATAATTTTGTGGTCGGTACGCGAGTGCTCCGCGTGTGTAGGCCAAAATGCAGTGCAAGCAAGTGCTACATAGACCTTCGATCGTGTTCATCAGGTCTCTATGGCCTTGATCTTTGCAACACACACTTGATCGAAGCGAGCATGGAAGACCCGAGGTGGCAGCAGCAAATGCACGACGCGTCGCGTGAACTCAAAAGAGTCTCAGTGAGTATTGTTCGTGCACCAATTTCTCTCAAGAGGGCCAGAGTGCCCACGTTCCACAAGCTCTTCCGCTCATTTCGTTCCCCTCTATCTTTCGCTCTCACTGCAAAAGTCACATCTGAAACATGGGATACATTCGCTGCATCGCCGCTGCTCTAGCAGCTACTGGAGCCTACGCGCAAAGCGCCGTTCGTACGCACGCATCTCTCCCGCCGCTCGAGTGGCACATTCACTAAAAAATCACAGCGGTTGGAAGCTCGCCGGTGCCTCAAGGCAACACAGTCACGGTCTCGATCCCGGCGGAATCGCCAGCTCCAAGTCCCAAGCCAGTTCCTCCACCATTTTTGGGTCGTGCTATCACACCCCAGTGTCCAGTGGACGTTGTGGGCTGTGGCCAGAATGTCACTGAATGGATCACGGACCATCCGACAACCACATACGTTACCACGAATGTCACGCACGTTGTACCTCAAGTATGTTCGGGGCTTTGCGTTGCGCTGTGAGGCTCTTTCTGACGCGTTCCAGACCGTGACCGAGACCAATGTGGTCGTGACTGTCAGCGTCACCACAAAATACAACACGACGGAAGGTGTCTGCTCCACTGTCATCCACGTTCCGGCTCCAGTCGATACAGTCGTCACGGTCACGCAAAATGTCACATCAACGCAATGGTGGCTGGAGAAGAAGACTACCACAAGAGTCGACACCGTCACGGTCAACGCCACAAGCACAGATGCTTGTTATATCCCGCAGAAGTCACCAATCGGGAGCCCGATACGCGGCTCGACCACAATCCTCACAGATCAACCGACACCCTCATCAGAGCCTGAATTGGTATTTGAGGATGAGGACGGAGAGGATCATGCATTCCACCCAGAGATCTGAGGACTTCAACGCAGCTTGTGAAAGACATCCGTGGAGTAGCAGGAAGAAGGGCGTTCTCCGATCGTACCTCGAAGTGTGTAATGGCAAGTGTGGCAGTGAAATGGGGTTTTGTTATATCTTGCAGCGAGCAATGCATTGAATTTTTTGATCCCTTACAGCTGACCTCTACTCTCAACTCATGGCTTTTCTCGGAACTCAAGCTGCTCACATTCAATAGTACATCGGTTCCGCATGTTTCCGCACTCAGCAAACTCTCGAGAATGATGCCTTTTGTGACTGTTGCAAACGCCACTTGAGAGCGGAGGGCGAACACTTCACATAACACTTCTGTGCTTCGGTGGACCATCTCCAACGAAAGTGCGGGGCATGATGAAGACGTAAGACAGGTAAGTAATACCTTGACCAGTCTCACAACAGACGGCAAAGCTTGGCTGAGAAATGTATTGCGAGCAGATGTACATCAACACCATCGCCACATCCTTAGCGCTCGCTCGCCGACGAGACGCCCTCCACGTGGAATCTGGTCACTCGAATACATTCCAGAGTGGCCGATGCACTACTGCTTGAGAAGTGAGAAATTGTTGGTTGAAGGGCGTTCAGCAAAAGCTTGGAAAAATCACGGCCATGGCTTACAGTTGAAAAGAGACGATAGCCTGCATGTGGATCGTAGCAGCCGGCGAGCCTTGCGAGGCAGCTGAAAAGTTCCGAGGCATGAATACGAAGAGCGCTTAACTTTTCGCATGTTGAATGCCATGGTGTGGTAGGAGCCTTGCTTGAGCTTGCTCGGATCGCCAGATCTAGAGGTCGATTTAGAAGAGGTTGGAAAATTCGAGAAGAGAATTGTGATGCCTTCCATGCCCTCTCAGTAGCCTGGGTTCACATTGATGGGGTGCTATCGTGGCGCTCTCATTCCGCGCCTGCTGCGTGTGTCGGCTGCTGAAGCTTTGCATGGCTTCGCGAGACAAGGATGAGTTCAGCCCGTATAGACGCTGTGTTTTTGATGTGCGAATATCGCGGCCTAGACTTCTTTCCTGGTTCTCGTGTGAGCCGGTGAAGGTAGAACAATTGCCGGATCTGGAAGGCTCAGATTGGAGTCCTAGGGCTCCAGTAGTCATTGCTTCGACCATTCACCTCAAGCTAGTATCAATGTCCTACAACGTGACACATCAACTCCCTTTTACAGTACCTGTAAATTTCGTCATCGCCGACAGTCGTGTGGTGATTCTTCTGACTCTGGGGCCTATCTAAGTCGCAGTTATCATCTCAAAAGAAATCACCCGGAAGTTGGGATGTGAGTGACATGCTGATGTTTAAGAGCTTTGCTGTCCTTTCTGTTCAGTCCTACACCTGCCCTCTATCTCAGTCTCCTCAGGAGACTCCGACGCACACTATCTCAGAATCATCACTCCCTCTTATTCAGCGGCAATGAAGGTCACAATTACTGTATTTGCCGTCCTCAGCCTTGCCGTAGGCCCCTGAACATGAACGTTGTCTCAATGTGCTATGCTTATGCTTCCAATAAGGGATGGCCTGCGAAAAGGAAGACTCCTGCTTTCAAGACAACGTTGCAAGAGACAAACAAGTTCGCAAATCAATTCTTCATCTCCGATTTCCAGTATTGATGCGAGACTAGACTGGTGATGCGTTTCTCTGTAGCGATCGGATCCGGCAAGACTGTAAGGCAGATTGCTGCTCTCTTTACCCTCACATTAGCAAGGGCAGAGTGACAACGATCAAGTACTATGCCGTAAAGTGATAGAGCATGGGGAAGGACTATTTGCTTCTGGGGCTTGCAGGTGGGGTTCAAAATGTCACGATGGTGAAGGGCTACGGCGTGGTAGACTATGCTTCTTAGCGGGAGCACTCATACTTTTGGCCCGTGGTCAGATTGTATACCTCTTCCAGGTTGTAGAAAGATCCCGTAGTGCTTCCGCCACTATTGCGATCAATTCTCCTTCCGAGCCAGAATTTGGACACTGCCGCTTTGGCGAATGATGATCAAAATGGATCGATCTAGCGAGAGTAGCAATTGGTGGATGTCGCTCGCCCGCTCTACTCGGATGTATTGCAGAATTTCCCCAGCTCTACCATTCCATAACTTCTTAAGCTCAGATTCTATCGCCGTGGCCAGCTTTGTGCCATTAGCGGACGTGACGGACCACAAGTCCGAACCAGATTCATAGACCCAAGAGCTGGCTTCCATCTGGTACTCGGTCTCCACGCGAGAAGATGTAGCGTCTTCGGAGGTGATCTTAAACGATTGCCCATGTGCGGCGACTGCGATGTTTCGTTCCAGGTGATGCCACTGAGCGCTTTGTTTCCCCGAGGGCAGATTCCATGACCTGAAGATGTTGTCAGATCCGACGTACAAAAGGTCTTGTTCGGTGCAAGAAAACCACAAATCCCTAACTTCGTGGCCCGGTACACGATAGCATATCGCTCCAGAGGTTGTAGACCTCACAACTACTGCAGCATGGTAACCCCCACAGGCTACAAACTCGCCGCTCGAGGAGAAAACGACAGTTGAGCCCTTTCTCCTTCGCTTCAACACAGTCCTGGAGGAGTTTGAGTCCCGCTCTGCTTCGGCAGTACAATGCTTTTGACCAGAGTTAGCTTTCCAGATAGTCATCGATCCCGCACGTGAGACTGCGGCGAGCAGACAACCGTCCAGGGAATAGGAGAAAGGGAGACTGTTCGATACGCCACGCGCCGAGTCCTTCTCTACTCCATCATAGGTGAAAGTGTGGCCGCGGCGTTTCTCGTACAAAAGCCATGTCCTTATCTCAGGCTCTACACCCTGTTGCCGGTGGCACCATGCCAAGCTCCTCCCATCTGGCGAGAAGATTATTGCCACTTCGTCGTGCTCAAAATCTGCCTGGACGCCCCAGGATCTTGTATCGTAGACCTTGCAAAACAGTCTGTTGTAGTAGCCATGAGTGACGAGTACCTAGCGACCATCTGCGGAGAATTCTACAGAACGTAGGTCTTGTTTTGTCTGATTTCCTCGCACCACTTGCCACCGTTTTGATGGTGCACCTAGAATCGTAAGCTTTTCGTTCAATTCTCCACGAGACATGGGCGGTGGGAGAATGGGCGTTTGCGGCGACTCTCGTAACGGTGGTTTGTACATTCTTCGATCATCCTCTGGATGCGGGGAGATTGCTTCAGATGCAATAGCGCTTATTCCTGTAGGGAACGCTGCTTCATCCGCCGAGACTCGAACAAGAGCTTCGTGGCGGCTGGTCAGCTTGAGGTTGTACACATTCGATTCTTCCGCTGGCTCTTGTGCAGGGACCACGACCACAGGAGTGTTGAATTCGTCTACTAGCGTTGGTTCAGGGCAGAACATCTGTGATCGTCCAAGTTTTCGTCGGCCATTCGCATCCAGAATGACCTGTTCTCTTTGGAAATCCGCTCCGGAGTCATTATTGGTGCCATTCATCACAGGCCACTGCTCGGGACCAGTGGAAGCACTCGCTACTAGCGCCATATTTGATGTCTGGAGCTCGGTTGCTGACCAGGAATTGGAAGCAGTCGAAGGACTCTGGCGGCTCACGCCTGAAACTGCGCTCGAAGCCTGCGGTGATGTGACGCAAGGACTTTCAACGTCCTGCTCGTCAACGTCTTCGTCACCATGTAAGTTTTGCAGCCACTCGTGTTTGCGCGCCGAGCTGGCTGTCGGTCGTCGCTCAGGGTCCGTCTGTAGTAGATCACGCACAAAATTGCATCCAGATTCGTTCACGCTTTCGTGCTGCTGTAAGAGGTCCAATGGTAAAGCAGCTTTTCCTGCTGCGTACTCGAGTACCTGCCAGTCATTGAAGAAAATCGCCCGACCTGTCAAGAGGAGAAATGTGACGACTCCCATTGACCAAAGATCCACTGCTAATGTATATGAACCCTTTGGAGAGAGTTGAAGAACCTCGGGTGCCACATAAGGAGTGGTTCCTATTTGCGTTTTCAGGCCCTCATATTCCTCACTGACGCGTTTGCTGATACCAAAATCTGCCAGTTTGATCCACCAAAGCGGTCCCGGACGCACTACTAGAATATTCTTGCTCAACAGGTTAGCCGAAGAGGTCAGATCAATCAATTTGGTGTACGCTTACACACTTCAGGTTTGAGGTCTCTATAGGCAAGTTAATATTAGTATATAAAGTCTATACCCTTAAGAGCTTAAGAGATAATGTCCTAGACCTGTTCTTCCGGTAGAGCGGAGGTTAGAAACCCTCGAAGGTAGCTATTCTACAAATATTCTATAGCGATATAAATCTTATTTCCTACCTCGTACTACCTAAGTAACTATACGAAATAGTACTTATACTAATATCGTCGGGTAAGCGGAAATTGTTTTAAGAATCGGTACTTATCTAATAAGAACTAACCTTAGTATCTAAGAATAGAGTAATAGCGAATAGTTCCCGATTTATATTAACTTCTACCTAGAATCTATAAAGTTTCTTTACTACTTTTAGCTCGCTTCTTTTATTACTACTTAGATACTTCTCTAAGTAAACTTCGCCGAAGCTACTATAACTAAGAGTACTAGATTTCTTCTATTTCTTTTCTATATATATAACTTTTTATATATAGTCTATTCTATAATAGATATATTTAGTAATTAGTTCGGTTATCTCTATATCTAGCTTAGACTAGTATACTAAGTCTATAATCTTAGTTATAGTAACTAGCCGATATATTAACTTATAAAGCTATCGACGTTTAGATAGATATAGTTTAGTATCTAGACTTAGTATAAGAAAGCCGAAGTCCTTAGTAGCTTCTATAGTCTTCTACTTTACTTAAAAGCAAAGCGTATAATATAGTATTATATAGCGAAATATAAGACTAAAGTATACTTTTATACTTACTATT